CAGGTCGTTCTGTACTAATATCTAGACATTACCCTTTGGACTTCTGTGCTCTAATCGTACTGAACTAGGTATTTTTGCTATTGTTCCCTCTGTCTATAATAGTATCTTTCTTCTACCTCTGTACATGGCTAACTACTATTTGCCTGTCAGGTCACAGCTTTGACATCACTTTATATTCAGAAGTACTTCCCCTGACCCTCCAGAACTGGTAGATACTCCCTCCATAGTACTCTATACTTACCTCTGAAATAGGTTTCCCTGGTATTGTCTCTTCACTACACAATTGCTTCTGTGTGGATGCAGGTCATGAAATGGCCAGTGACATTAATAATAAGATCAGGGACACTGACTTAACCTAATGGGGATTAAATTCCTTTTATTGGATATTTAAACTAAAGGCAAGAAGCAAGTGTCAATTGGTGGTCGGTGTCAAGAAGAATGGTGTACATTTGGGGTGACAGTCAGAATTCTAATGAGCAAAGAAACCTAATGGAAAGTTAGAGAACCTAAAAAGAATTAGGGCCATTTGCAGGGCAAATGTTAGGGAATAATTCCCTGATATTATTTACTGATATCCAAGGTCAAGGATTCAAGAGTCCTTACATTCCTATGAGAATTCTGTATTCTTAAAACAGTTCATACATTTAGTACTCCCCCTCTAACACATACACCCAAGCTTCTGTTAACTATCATTTTACAAACAAGGCACTTGCCTCTTTGGGTGCAAGGGAGAGGTACGTCTTAGCAAAAATTTGCCACATAGTACTGCTTTCTCATCTCCCCATACTCACTGAGAGATGAAAAAGTTTGTGAATTCTCCATCTTTGTCTCCCTGGCACTTAGTACAGTATCCAACATGCATCTGCACTCAATCCAATGTTGTTAAAAAAAATAGTAAATGAGAACAAAAATAAACGAAGGAACCTCTGCTATTTAATAATTCAACAGCTGGCTTTTGTGTAAAGTAATAAAAAAAAATCAAATGGAGTTTTCCTCTTATAATTATCATAAAAGCATTCCCATCTATAAACTTAGAACCCAGACATGGGAGTACATGGGAAAAATATTGATTGTAGAGTTTGATGTGATTCTCCAAAGGACTGACAGAATACAAAAGCCCCTTGGAAAAGCATTTTGGCTCTTACAAGAGGTAGAGTTTATGACTTGTCAGGATTGGAATGCTTTAGCTGTATTCTGAGAGAACACTTTGTAGGAACCCTGTACACTCTCTGTGTGGCTTGCAGGAGGGTTATTTGTAGACCATCTCAATCAACTTTTTATGCATCTGCATGAAAATCACAATTAAAGCAAGGAAAGTGCTGATAAAAAACACATTAACATTCCTTTAGCTTCAAGGAAGTCTTGATATCTAGTCATTAACTGGGCAATCTGCCCTCAGACTTCCTTCTGTCTTAATATCCTAAAGAGAAACATGTCTTCTGAGAACAATGTTTTGTGTTTTTTTCATTCTTTATGTTTTGGTCCTCCACTATGAAGCCCTTAATTCCTATGAATCTAAACACTCATTAACTCTCAAGAACCACTATCAGCTATCTTCAGTCAAATGAATATAAAGGGAAAAAATGGTAAAGTTTAATTTCAAACAAATAAAAGTGTTTTTGTTATGTTGTTTTTGTTATATCATTATAGCTGTTTTTTTTGGATTTCTTATTTGCTTGCTTGGCTATCTATTGAACAAACAGCGGTTAACATCTTTTAAAATACTAATAATCAATTTCATTTTTCAGTCAGATTGCATTAATATCATTACTTCTATTTATATCTGAGTTTTCTGTATCTTAAAGTATTTTCTCTCTATAACAGACTATTGTTTTCGTTTTGAGAAAGATGTGGAGGGGAGGAAGGAGGGAAATGGAGTTTACTGACATTTTCTTGTCTGCATTCTTCCATGTCTTTTCAATTTGAAGAGCTCACGATAATGTGGTATCTCTTATTTCAATTTCACTTTTAATACCTGCCCAAGCACTCTAGCTGTGTGTACCATCTTCCCTATTAAGAAAGATTATGTCCCTGTAATACTTGCTTATTCTTCTTTATTTTTTCTATGAAGCACTCAAAGATGACCTTCAGTTGCCTCTGTCTCACTGATAAAATTAGTTTTGGACAAATACAACTTTCAAAAAGTAATGTCTCATCATAACAGATTAACACGATTCTGTTGGTTCCTTTTAAATCACATTTACCTCAGAGTCCATTTATGATATCAAACAGAGGTTGCTTTGGACCCTCATTTCCATTTCTGTCCAAAACAGAATATAATTTTCCCATTTGTATATTGACAGCAAAACATAATTCAAAACCCATTACTACATTGCAACCTCCCACATACATGGCAAAAGCAAAAGTTCATAATATAAAAAAGTCTTCTTAAGCTTTAAAAGTTGAGGAACTTTTAAATTCAGCCAACTGTGTAGTAAGAGTTCTATAGGGAAAAACTATTCTAATTGGCTAATATTCTGAATTTTTTCACAAGACAGAATTGCCATCAGGTGGGGGGTGGAGGGTGCGTGCGTGCGTGCGTGTGTATTAATGTTAGTTGCTGATTTAAATATTTACAGCATCTACTCAAAAATTAAACTTCATTTCTGGCTTCTGCTTCATTAGCACCAGAAACTGTGATGAGTGAATATGCATTGGAGTAAATTAATTAATAATAATTTTATATTATTATTTTATTTTATATATATATATATCAAAAGGCAATATCATGATGAAAACCTTGTGATTGTTGAAGCATGTTCTGAGAAAAATATAACTGCACCCAATTCAGAGAATTTCAGGTTTGGAATGGTAATGCAAAACAGAAAGCCGGAAAGAGCAACAAATGAAGTTCTTAAAGAATGCTTACTATATATTTTCCCTGACTTTTCAGAGCACATTGGAGTCACTTCTACATGCTTCTGTGGCTGTATATGCACCCACCCACCACTGACCCCGGCCCCATTCATCACCACCAAGGAAGACATGCTCTCTAAATAGAAAGATTCTAGGCCACCAGACAAATTTTGACTGAGTGGACAGAGCCACTGTGAGTGCCAAGTTTCTCATAGATCTACTCTTTTTTATGTGGCTGCAGTAATTAAAGAGTTAGGTTTAACTCTTACAGGTCTCTTAAATCTCAAAGGGATTTATGATGCATCAACTCCCTTAGGCTCTGAACTGAAATAAAGTATTCCAACTTGTTTTATCAGAGAATTCTCTAATGGGCCTTAGAAGCTTAACCAGTATAGAAGCATTTCATGTCCCTTTGCCAGTATTTCTTGTATGTATATCCCCTTGAGGAAATCATGGGATTGGAGAGGTGACTGAGTTTTGGGACAAGAGTTAATATTTATGGTTCAACAACCCAAATGCTTCCTAGCCTTTATCATGTTGTGGAACACAAAGAAAATTATAATATGATATAATATGGTACAATATGTTATATATGTACATATACTGAGGTCTATCCAGAAAAGTCCAATCATTATTAATATAAAGAGAATGGTCTGAGTGACATTCATGTAATCTGGGAGACAAAGAGAGTGGACTGGAGTGCACATGCATGAACAATGATGACTTCACTGTACTAGTCAGTGGGGGTGGTAGACGCCATTGAATTAGCATGTGTACTATGTGGTTGTTGCACTTAAAATAACTGAGTAGAGCAACAAATATGCATCAAATTTTGCATTAAGCCTGAACATTCCTCTGCAGAAACTATTGGGATGATTCAGAAAGCTGCAGCTATAGACAGCTGGCGATTGGCAGCTTCATCACTAGACAATACAACCACTCATGCATCACATCTCGTGCAGAGTATTTTGGCAAAACATCAGTCACTGAGGTGACTCAGCCCCCCTACAGCCCAGATATGGTGTCCTCTGACATCTGGTTTTTCCTAAAACTAAAATAACATTGAAGGGGAAGAGATTTCAGACCATTGATGAGATTCAGGAAAATACGATGGGGCAGCTGATAGGAGATCTGCGTGAGGTCCCAAGGTGCCTACTTTGAAGGGCACTGAGGAGAAATTGTCTTGTGTACAATGTCTCTTGTATCCTGTATTTTCTTCAATAAATCTCTATTTTTCATATTACATGGCTGGATATATCTGGACAGACCTCATATATACCATATTATATATAATTATATAGCGGGGTGGGGGCAAATGTTGGTTTACAGTTGTGAGTACATGAAACAGTTTATTCTTGCATTATTATTTATTAATTATTGTACTATTTTTCCAGATGAACAACTGTGAAGCTACTTTTGCTCTACTATTCTCTGGGGTAAATTAGAGAAATCAAAGTACATGTATAGAGTTTAATGAGAAAAGGAAAAGTTACACTGCCTAAATATCATGGAAAGATAAAATAAAATATAAAATATTGGGGGGGAAATAGCATTGAATTTTGTGCAGATATTATGTAATACTGCCCAGTGGAGCTTCATGAGCTGCATGTCACTCAGTGTACTTGCCAGCTGCAAAGACAACATAAACAAGGCACTTCTAACATGTCCATAAGAAAATTAGCTTGCTTCTGTAACCATCACTTTTTTATCAAAGTTTATGCTTTAGCTGCTTATACACAATTCTTAACCAAGATGTTTTCATCATAGTCTCAAAATTTTGGTAAGTTCCATTGATGAGAATTTTTTTCTTAAACAAGCAGATAATCCAAAATGTTAAAACTTGTATTTTACAACCATTCAAATTCTTTAACAGTTGAAATAGTCCCTAAAATTAAATTTAAATTTCCTGTGATAATAGAAAGATACTTCAAATCCAATCAGAAATTTAAAGTCGACATTTTGAAATAATAAGGCTCTAACGTAGAACATGCATGCATTGTTAAACAGCTGGCTAGGATTCAACTAAGTGCAAATATCAGCCACAAAATATGAAAGAAACATATTAGGGGCACTGCCTGGGGCTGAGCTTCCCAGGATCCCCTGCCCAGCCACCCCCAGCCCTCTTTCCCCACCACTGGCCGCACCTTGGGCTGGGATCTGGGCTCCTTGGGCACCTGGACCACGAACTCCTCTGGTAGCTCCACGGGGCCCTTGTCCACGGTGAGCAGTGGCGCGCTCTGCGGCTGGCTGCTGAAGGAGATGTCTAGGTGGTAGCGCGCCTCCGGGGCTGCGCTCAGCGTGTCGCAGTGGAGCAGCGAGGGCTGGATGTCGCTCATTGTGCTTGGCACCTGCGGGGACCGCAGGGCGCACCATCAGACCCCGCTCAGCTCAGGACAGCCTCAGAGGAGCCCTGCTAGAGCCTATCCCCCAGGCCACTCTCAGCTGTAAGCCACAAGCCACAGGCCACAGGCCCCAGACCCCAGACACCAGCCACCCCAGGCCCCATTAAGACAAACAGAGAGAAAGAGATCCTACCTGTCTCCTGGTCTCTAGTGTGATAATGACTGTGTAGTTCTGTCCTAGTTAAGCACTATTTTAAGTAAGCCAAAAATATGACCCTAATCCCTAACAATGATTAGAAAACTAGATATGATTATTGAAAGCAGAGAATGCTACCTGAAAAAAATATAAATCTTATCTATATTTTTACAAATTCACAGCATTCTGATGTCAATTATGGGCACCAATATCAATAAGTGTAACTAAAAATAAAATGTTGGTTACTGAACTAAGCATTTTCACGCAAAAAGCTTCTTAATGTAATGGGTGAAAAAAGTTTTGGAGAGGTGTTTTGTTTTTTATTAGTTTTATTTTGTTTGTTATATTGTTATGCTTACATGGAATGTTTTATATTTATATGTTTCAGGTCCTTTGACATTTTTTGAAAGATACTGTATTAAAATCTGTGATGGACATTAAGGTGAAAAAGATATGCACACATTTTTGCCATTTATATACACAGTGATTTTACTGACAAATGTACATATTACATAAATGAGTAAATATGAAAGACCAAGACAATAATGAAAAAATAAAATTTCACACATATAATTTTTTAATAATTCACAAAACAGTCATACATTATATGCTATGAAAAACAGCTGCTTAGGTACAGGATTTTTTCCCGGGAAATTGGTACATAAATACATATTTCACTACACTACTTGCAACTTGTGTAATAAACAGGAATGGTATTAAAAATGTTCCTGCTAAAGAAAGGAAAAGACTTTACAAGGAAAAAATTTTGCTTTTCACTACTATTTTTAACACACTGTAACATGCATATTTAAAAATACATTAATAATGTTATATGGCTACCATTCAATAGTCAGGGCAGAAACTAAGAAATTCAATAATGCAAGAGAATTTTATGATCATCTTTCTAACACTGGAAGTTTATACATGGGGCAACAATTTCTTGATATATAAAATATTTGCAACTTAATAATGAAAACACAGTTTCTTTCAAATCACAAGAAATCATACAGCTTTATAGAAAACAACAAAAAATGGTATGAGAAATCTGTCAAACAATCCATTGATAATGAAAAAGGTTAGATTATAAGTAGGGAAACAACATTTTTTTACTTAAGCTCATTATAATATATGAGTACCAGGCAAAAGATAGTCTAAATGCTATTTTGATAGTTTGTGTGAATGAAAAAGGTGTCAAAGAAGGAAATGAGTTTTAAAGCCGAAAAACTTGTGAAAATCAAAATCTCTAAATAAGTGCTTCCTTTAATGTTTAATGTTTAAATCCAGTGAAATCTCTTCTGATTTTTTAACTTCTGAAACATTACTATCCTCATTGTACCAAATGACAGTATTAATTATTTTTTACATAAATACATACAGGCAGGTTTTCCCTAACATCTTTATACCAACTCAATGAAATGAATTTTGCAAAAGAATATAATGTTGTATTATCCTACAAGCTTCAGTTATAATAAAACTGAAAGATTTCACCAGCCGCCAAGTTAACTTATAAGGACATTTGGGGTGATGAAGTGCTCATTTATTCATTCGACAAATATTTACTGAGTTCCCATTATATCTCAGGTCCTTTTGCAGGCACTGGAGATTTTGGTAAACAAAACAACCATGTACCTGCTTTAATAAATCGTCCATTCTTGTGTGGGAGACAGAGAATATACAAATAGATACTTTTTTAAAAAATACCATATAGAGATGTGTAATTTACAGAAAACTTAAATAAGGGAATATGTAAAAGCCACTCTAATTAGGTTTCTGTGGAAAGCTTATCTATGGGAGTATAATTTAAACAGATCTCCAGTTGACAGTCATACAAAAACAGGAGGAAAGAGCACTCCTGGCTTCTTCAAAGCCCACAGGCTGGAACGACACTAGTCTGTTTAAGAAATAGCACAATGGCCCAGGAAGCTATGTGTGGTTGGCTGGGAGAAGAATGGTCAGAAATGAGATCAGAGGTAAGCAACAAGTGGATCATTAGCTTTGTAAAAGTGCACAAAAAGTTTAGTTTTGGAGCAATCAAGCATCTGTTTTAGATCCTGAATAAAGCTCCTGGGAAAAAATAACAAGGCAGAAGAGGGGGAAATTGGGAATTTTGAGTTCTACTGAACTAGAGATTGGTTACTTCAGGAAAGGTCAATTTTAAGAGTAGGCGGAGAATGACTGTTCACTTAAAATGTATGTATAGTAGAATCACCATTTCCTGAAAAATATAACAGTGTCTGTACTAAATAAAAGAATCTTAGCCTAAACAAGCAAAAACATAATAATAATAAGAAGAAGATGCTCAAACTAGAACTAGAAAGCTAGGTCCACAGACCTGGAAAAAGTAGGTATGAATCAGAGAATAAAATAATTGTATAGAGTAAGATTAAGGAATATAAAACACAAGGAAGTTAAATAGAATTTGACTCTTGAAATTTAAGGAAATTCGACTCTGATGTGTTCTATGAAGCTTGAATGTCTTATGTCTATAGATCGGACACTTCTTTAAATTCACTATCTCTAAGAAAAAAATCCAGAGTCATCCATCAGTAAGAGCAAAATTGGAGGGGCTGTTACACTGTCCACATGGAGAAGGGCTATTAGAACAGGGCCAACATCTTAACTTTTGTTATAAAAAATACTGTACCTATCAAACTTAAGATACTGTATAACTTTGGAGGAAGTATTTGAGTTATAAATATAAATCCAATTTTTTTCTTCCTGAAGTTATTATAAACTATGTCTTCAAGATAAACACAGTTATAAGACTGGAATTCCATTAGAACTATGGAATCTCAAGTCTGGAAGGAATCATTCAACTAGCATGCTACACATTAACCCTTAGATCACCCCTGCTAAAAATCTCTCAGGTTTCACATGAAAAGGCAGTGATCACTAAGTCCTTAAAACACCCAATTTCATTTGAAGCAGCAAGTTCTTCCTCATGTCAAGAAAGCTGATATGTATATATCCTGGCATTCTCCACCCACTTGTTTAAATTCTATATAAATGGGCCATGCAAAACAGATCAAGCTACTCCTGTAAGGTACTTGTCTTCAGATATTTGACACACATGATAAATGTCCCTTTTCTTCTCTAGATGCATAAGGGGAAACATTTCTTTCTAATTAACTAGAAAAATACCTCAGGATGCTATAGCATTAAGTATAATTTGGAGGCATCCACACCTTATATTCCTCTCCCATCCCCATTTGAGACCACATTTTCAAATCCTGTCATGTGTAATTACAAGATGTCTCAAAGGCAATTGGTGCAGGAACAGAAATGATGATAAGGCCAACACATCTTGTTCTTTCTAATCTCAGAGATCTTTCAGAGAGAAGAGCATTCTTATCTCCTTTAAAAACTATGAGACTAACAACATTTTTTTAAATAGAAATAAAGAAATTGAGCCCACTACAATAGCATAAAAACAATCGAATACTTAGGAATAAATTTAAGAAGGTGAAAAAGGTCTACTCCAAAAACTACAAGGCGCTGATAAAGGAAACCAAAGAAGACACAAGTGTACTGTGTTCATATATTGTTAAAATGTTAATACTACCAAAAGCCATCTATATTTTCAATGTGATCCGTATCAAGAGTCCAATGACATTTTTATAGAAGTAGAAAAAATACTCCTAAAATTTTATTACTCATTGAATAATTAAAGAAACCCCGAGAAAGAACAAAGCAGGAGGCATCGCACTTCCAGATTTCAGCTATAAAATAAAGCTATAGTCACCAAAACAATGTGGTACTGGGAAAAAAACTGACCAATGGAATAGAATCAAGAGCCAAAAATATATGCTCAACTAATACTTGACAAGGGAGTCAAGACAACTCAATGAAGAAAAGACAATCACTTTAATAAATAGAGCTGCAATAATCAGATATGCACATGTAAAAGAATGAAACTTACACCACTCACAAAAAATTAATTCAAAGTAAATTTAAGACTTAAATGTAAGACCTGAATTCACAAAACTCCTAGAACAAAACAGAAGTAAGGCTCCTGGGCGTGTGTCTTAGTAATAACTTTTTGATATGTTGCCTAAAGCATGAGCAAGAAATAAACAATAAACAAGTAGGACTCTGTCAAACTAAAAAAACCTCTGCACAGCACAAGAAATGAGGAACAAGTGAAAAGACACCCTGCAAAATGGGAACAAATATTTGTAAACCATGTATCTGACAAGGGGTTAATATCTAGAATATATAAAGAACTCATAAAACTTAATAGCTAAAAACCAAAAACAAACAAATAAAAAAAGCAAACAGAAAACCACACAATGAGAAATCACCTCCTGCTTGTAATAATGGCTATTATCAAAAAGACAAGAGATAAAACATGTTATCATGGATGTGAAGAAAGGGAAACTTTGTACACTGCTTGCGGGAATGCAAATTGGTAAAGCTGCTATGGAAACAGAGTGGATGATTCTCAAATAAATTTACAAACGGAACTACTATGTGATCTAACAATTACACAGCTGGAAATATACCCAAAGGAAATTTTTTTAAAAACCTAACTTGAAAAGATATTTCCTCCCCATGTTCAAAGCAGCATTATTTACTATAGCCAAGACACCGAAAAAAGCTAAGTATCCATCAATGCGTGAATGGATAAAAATACATGTTGTACCTATACAATATATACAATATTGTTCAACCATAAAAAAATGAGGAAATCCTACCATTTTCAATTGCATGGACTGTCCTCGAATGCACTATGCTAAGTGAATGAGTGAGATTGAGAAAGACAAATACTGTGTGATCATACATGTAGAAAACTAACAAACAAACAAACAAA